CACTCACTTGACCCTAAGAGATTTTTGGAAAGAACACTTCAGTATTCTCCATTGCATAAGCCTTATAGGTAAGGCTTGGGAGGGAGTGACTACCAGGACTTTGAACTCTGCTTGAAGAAACTTGTGGCCAGATTGTGTCGACAGGAGGGATTTTGAAGGGTTTGAGGCGGCCCCTGATGAGCCTATGTCAGTTGTGAACTCTATTGTGGCACTGGGGAGTTCCATGGGGTTGGATGTGAGTTTGGAGGATGTGGAAGAGTTGGTGGAGGACCACAACAAAGAGCTAACCACTGAGGAAATGCAAGAGCTTCAGCAGGAAGAGCAGCAGATCACATCTCAGAATCTTGCTGCAGAGGAGGAGGAAGAGAGATGGAAGAAGGTGCCTTCTTCAGAAATTAAGGAGATTTTTGAAATGTGGGGTAGGATGGAAAGATTTATGGAGAAACATCACCCTGAGAAGGATGTTGCAAGCCATATCGGCAACTTGTACAGTGGCAGAGTCTTGGCCCATTTTAGGGAAGTTTTAAAGAGACGCCAGAAACAGAGCTCTCTGGACAGTTTTTTTGCGAGACAGGACTCCAGTGATTCTCAAACTGGTCCTAGTGGCATTAACCCTTTCAGGGTCCACAGGCCCTCTCAGAGACTTGTTCTCAGGGTCCAACAAATTTAAAAAAAAAAAATATTTTTTCTTGTGAAAAGATAGAGAATGTTTTCCCATCATAATGACACCAAAAGTATGAAATTTGATGGAAAACTTACGGAATTATGCTTTTGCGAAGTTAGCAATCAAGACGATGTTTACGCATTGGCGATTTTGCCCACTTTGAGCCCTATTTTCAGTCAATTCCTATGTACTAGTCGACAAAAATCATAACTATTTCGCTAGAACTCCATTTTTTCTATCGAATGAGTACAAGAAACCATCAACTTACTGATTTCAACTATCCAATACAGTGGTCAGAATTTAGCAATTTTGCCAATTTCACACAAATTTCAAAAGATGCCAATTTCCAAATAGGGTCCAGAATAAACAAGACAGGCATTCTTGGCACTAAAATAATATTTCCTCTGTTTATTAGTCACATCCCCAGGCCCCTCTTACATTTCTTTTGCTTTCCACTTTGAATTTTTATTCTCACAAAAAAAATAAGATTTACTGTTATGCAGACTACTGCATTAGTGTAGAAATGGTATAAATAATATCGGCACACTTGTGAAAGAATATTAGACTCACCAGTTGATGTGTATTGGATGCTTAGCATGATTTGTTTACTTTTGAACTTTGGTAAAAATCGAACATTTCTGCTACCTTGAGCTCAATTTCAAGGTACTTTTCATTGTAAAACCAGTCAAAATCATCTCAATTTCTGTAATATGTCTTCCATTCTATACAATGAGACCAGGAAAACTAGAATACAATAATAAACACCATACGAAAATATAGTGCAAAATCGCTGTTTTAATCCAAAAACACGGTCGAAGTTTTTTTTTTCTCATTATGCACTGTGTGCTGCAGGCTTTTTTTTTATACTGCGTACACTGACCACATAGACCCATTCTTTCATATGTACGCCTACCAGCTTTCTCTCACTAGATTTGAAGGCGCTAGAATTTATGCGTACTAGTACGTCATGGACACTGGCGCGTAAGCCATACTGGTACGGCCGAAACCCTGAAAGGGTTAAGTAACAGAGAAGAGAAGTAACCCCAGAAAAACACTTGGTACCTGAGGTGTTGATGGAAGGGGATTCCCCTTCCAAACAGTAATTCAATCTCTCTCCTCCAGTCTTCCATACACTAAGAAGAATCGCCAATAAAGGTAAGTGTTATGCTGTTAATGTTTCATTCATCATGTCCCATTGTATTGTTTATGTACTACATCTATATTTCATGTAAAAAAAAATTTTTGTTTTAATACTTCTGGGTGTCAGGAACGGATTATAATTGTATTTACATTATTTCTTATGGGAAAAATTTATTGGAAAATCATCTATTTAGATAATAGTCCCACTTCCAGGAACGGATTAAGGACAATAATTGAGGGACCACTGTATGTCAAATCACTTTTCCTCATTTAAATTAACTGAAATACCATTAATCCGTTCCACCGGAATTCCTGCTCTTGGGAGGCAGGACAAAATACTTCAATATGATGCTAATATCAACTCTATGGCTTATTTATCTATCACAATTCATCTTTTTTTTTTTTTTAACAAGTCGGCCATCTCCCACCGAGGCAGGATGACCCAAAAAGAAAGAAAATCCCCCCCAAAAAATACTTTCATCATCATACAACACTTTCACCTCACTCACACATAATCACTGTTTTTGCAGAGGTGCTCAGAACACAAATTCATCTACTATGACATAATAGACAATATACGTAAATAACATAGAAACAATATATATACTCTAGAATGAATAAAGTATGTCATTATGTGACTAGTGGTGGCGGTCATTCCTGCTCCCGCTCTGACCATATCTTCCCATGCTCTTATTATAAGAGAAAACAGTGTTTGTGAGGCTAACCACTAGATCACTAGTTTCATAAGGAAAACGCTGAAACATTGTACGTATTTATAAATAAGAACTATTGTATAAAAACATAATTAAACATAATAGAGAATGTAAAGAAATAAACATACACACTTACCTTGGAGCATAGATGCTCTCCCCTCAACCCACAACCCACACACCTTGCTTGTTTATCTATGATTTCCTGCTCTAATTCCATGGACATCATCCTCTTATTCTTCTCAGCACTGTGCTTTGCACTTGCTTTCTTAGGACCCATGGTTAGAAAAAAGAAATTTGGCAAAATAACTGCACAAAATGCAAGCAAAACACAAGAAATACTTCCACAGCAATGTAAACACATGCACAGCTCAGCTGATGTTGTGGCTTTCTCTGTGCCAACTAGTGGTACAGTGAATAATAATAATAATTATTATTATTATTAATTTAGGGAACTGGAGCACAGATCCAATTCCCTAGATCAAGAGCCTCTTACCAGCATCAAGAAACCTTGATGCTGGTGGGTTGAAGGGAAAGTGGGGGAAGCTCGCTCATAACTTGGATGTTGTCTCGTAACTCAGAGCAAAAAATTGACCGAGCAACGGCTCATATCTCGAAAAACTCATATGTTTGGACACTCGTAAGTCAAAGTTCCTCTGTACTGTATATAATGTAAGGAGAGAGAAAGGGGAAGATAAACTTTCTTCAATACAAGGCAGACAAGGTACTTTAATGGGTTTTAAAAGAATGCACAAAAATTTAAAATATATGTTAGGGAAAAAAGAAGGCTTGCAGTGAATCGATGTTCCCAAAATTTCATGGGGAATGCCCTTTAACCCTTAAACTGTCCAAACGTAGATCTATGTTTGCACTCGTAGCACTCCGACCTTGATTTTCTCCATGAGAAAGCATGTAAAAAAAAAAAAACGTAGATGTACGTTCAGAGCGCTACACGAGCAAACATAGATCTACGTTTGGACAGTTTAAGGGTTAAGCTATTAGCGTGTCTCACTGACAAGAGTTTTTGTAAAAACATTGGAAAAAGCCACCAGAGAAAATTGATTGAATCACATGGAAAGCTAAAACCTGTTGACTATCCAACAGTTTGATAGCATCAGCAAAATCCTTTTCAGGGAGTGCCTTGAAGCTGTTAAAAGGCTCTTCATCCAAAGAATTATAGTTACTCTCCCAGTCCTTTTTCAAACTTGATAATTTCACCACTCTGCAGGTGCTATATTACACCTATGGGATTTAGTGCTTCCCCATGAATATTATAATAATGTGCAAGACTTCTTCTTTCAACAAACCAGTCATATCCCACCAAGGCAGGGTGGCCCAAAAAGAAAACAAAAGTTTCTATTTTTAATTTTAGTAATGTATACAGGAGGAGGAGTTACTAACCCCCTACTCCCAGCATTTTAGTCGCCTCTTATGACACACATGGCTTATGGAGGAAGAATTCTGTTCCACTTCTCCATGAAGATAAGAGGAAATAAACAAGAACAAGAAATGGTAAGAAAATAGAGGAAAACCCAGAGGGATGTATCTTTCTTTCTTTCAACACATCGGCCATATCCCACCGAGGCGGGGTGGCCCAAAAAGAAAAACGAAAGTTTCTCTTTTTAAATTTAGTAATTTATACGGGAGAAGGGGTTACTAGCCCCTTGCTCCCAGCATTTTAAACACCTCTTACAACACACATGGCTTACGGAGGAAGAATTCTGTTCCACTTCCCCATGAAGATAAGAGGAAATAAACAAGAACAAGAAATGGCAAGAAAATAGAAGAAAACCCAGAGGGGTGTATGTGTGTATATATATATATATGCTTGTACATGCATGTGTAGTGTAACCTAAGTGTAAGTAGAAGTAGCAAGACATACCTGAAATCTTGCATGTTTATGAGACAGAAAAAAGACACCAGCAATCCTACCATCATGTAAAACAATTACAGGCTTCCATTGTACACTCACTTGACAGGACATTAGTACCTCCCTGGGTGGTTGCTGTTTACCAACCTACTATCTAGAATGTGCAAGACTGCTTACGTTTATTTGCATTAAATAAATCTTTGGAAAATATTCCTTAGTAAAGAATAAACTGAAAGCTATATACTATATGAGCATTTAGAGCTTAACTCTTGCAGTAAATGAGAAACAGGAGACCTACAGTAGCTCTTGTATTGTGTGTATTTTCCTGTGTTTACCCATGTGAATTTGTGAGATGTGCTTGAGTTCTTTCTCCTGTCTCTTAACTGTTAAGCAACTGACAATTGTGCCAGGTCATACCTATTTTTTGAAGCAGTGCATAAAGTACACTGAAATGTTACATTATTGAACTTATTCCACTTACATATTCTTTTACTGAAGAAATAATTTCAGATACCTCTATGGTTCATTTTGGTGTGCAATTTTCTGCCATGCCCACTTGTTCTTGTATCTATGGTGAATATGTGCATATGTTGTTTTAAATTTTTTTATTTTGCAGGTTGAAGCCCAGGATCCAACAACATTTGAGTTAACCCTTGATTACCATCCACTGGACATCCTACCTTATAAAGTACAAGCCAAGCATCTTTGTAAGTTTATACTAAATCTTTATTTATATTGCTCTTGGTGAATGACTTCATAATGAAATAATAACACGTAACTTGCAACATACAGTATCGTACATTTTAGATTAACCCTTGACTGTCCAAACATAGGTCTATGTTGTTACCGCCAGCGCTCCAATAAGGCATAATTATCTGCTCTAGAGTGTGCTTCACATCAATGCTTCTAGATGTGTCAGGGTCCTTTTCTGTGCAATTTTACCAATAGCATGGAATTGCTCATGTAACAGTTATAGTCTACCTGGAAGGTATTCTGGGGGTCAATGCCCCCATGGCCCAGTCCATGACCAGGCCTCTCAGTGGATCAGGGCCTGATAAACCAGGCTGTTACTACTGGCCACACATAGTGTTAACTGTTTATCTCTAAGTTCTTCTACCTCATCCTCTTCTGTTATCTTCTTTCCTCCTATCTGGGAATTGAGCTCTGCCAGCATTTCCTTGCAGTTTGTTCATCTAATCTTCTGTCTCCTTGCCAGATGCACAGTTTCATGGACCTGGCTGTCTTTTGAGGGAAAACTGTGAAATTATTAACCACACTCGGTCATAATTTTGTCCAGCCTACATTATTGTTGATTGGGCACTTTGTCCAATGCACTCCTTCAGATTGCAGTATTTACACTAAAGGAAGCGTGAGGATGTTGTAGTTCAGAGGGCTGTCAGAATTGTGAATGTGTTTACTCATTTTTGGTCAATCTGCCTTAGTGGGAGATGGCTGCTGTGTTAAAAAAAATGCATCTGTGATTATAAATTTAAGCCAAAACTCTGGCACTCCAGTGTCTACATGGTCATCCATTACTGTGAGAAGTTTTTGCACCACCTTTCATGTGTAGTTGCACTTAAATGTCTTAATTACTCCTCTATGCAGTGGTTGTATGAAAAATGTCATATTTGGTGGAAAAAACACAACCCTCAAATTTGGGTCCAGATTCCAAGAGTTGAGGATGGCTGTGGGAATTATCAAGAGTGAAAACCTTTATTGAAACATTCTTTCTATGTAGGTACATCTAAATGAAGGAATAAAATAGTTGAACCAATCAAAAAACAGGACCTCAGAGTACCACAGTACTCCTTAACAAAAATGCATGCCACTAATGGATATGAAATCCTCTCTGGCACACAGTAATGGAAATGGCAAATTTATTGGAAATGAAAAACTAAATTTAAATTTCAGCATATTGAAAACATGAGCTTTGAATTGCTTGACTTATGGATGTCTACTGTACTTATGAGAACCACTAAGCCCACTTGTCATTTGGAACTATCTATTCAATCTTCTGTCCATGAAACAGGAGACAGACACACTACCTAATTACTTGCAGGCTGCTGTAGTAAGCCCACTCTTCTGTAGATTTTTGCCTTAGAGAGACTTGTTTGGCCATATCTGTTGTATGTAAGGCAGATTTCTTGACCTTTATCCATTAGATTATTTCCCAGATAGAAATATGAATTTTCTCCCAATCATTTTTAATCTAAGCTCCATATGATAGGTTACTTATAGGTCAGTGTTCAGAGAACAACTAAAAGATCATGGATAAAATTCCTATGCAAAAAAATGCAAGTCTCCTTGCACCTGCATCCCTTGTTCACCTAGCAGTAAATAGGTACCTGGGTGTTATTCCACTCCTGTGAATCACATCTGGGGGAGAAAATTTCCAAACTCCATACACTTTAGTAATTGCCTTTTCTTTACATTCACTACCTGCTCCAATTTGGCAGTACAGTATTGCATACAACCAGCTCTTATAAAGCTCCTCTATATACCTGGAGGGTGTTCTATGGGTCAATGCCCACATGGCCTGGTCCATGACCAGGCCTCACGGAGGATCAGGGTCTGATCAACCAGGCTGTTACTCCAGGCTGTGGTGACAATTTTTACAAATGCATACAAAATTGAATAACACATGCTGTGAAGGTCTTTTTGTGTGCTATTTATTTTTTGATATACTTTTTTCAATTTCATTTACTTACAAAATAAAATCACACTGTATACTGGAGCTTTGTAAGAGCACTAATTGTATATTGTACTTTGATTTGCCATGTGTATTTTCAGCTGGGAAGGCGCCATCTTCAAGTCTGATTGAGATTATGCATGATCTGGAACTTGACATGAAGACTTCACCTTTCCCACAAGTTTTATTTTCAACTTTTGTTGGTCAGCAACCCTCCCAAGGCAGTACTCAAGAATCCAGTGAAAGTGGTTCTTCAGATGACACTATTGTCTTTGATCAGGCACCTTTTTGATCGCTTGCTGTATAATTCTTTATTGTCGATTGATAGAGCCGTTGTTTTCTTTTTAATCCAAGAAATACTAAGCACTGTACGTATATTGCTTTTAAAAGTACTTTATAAATTTCTTTCTTCTTTGGGTTCAAGAATTTTGTCAACATTCCTTACAGTGTTGCATTGCACAGCAAAATTTTTAACTCTTTGTTGCAATCTTTGCCATTTCAGGTACTTAATGAGATATTTTTTGAAACTATATAAAGTTGTAATATTTAGCTTCTGCTGAATGTTAGCATTATTATCCAAGTGCCAGTAACAATATGATTGCCCAGTTTTGCATTCGTATGTACAAAAAAGTGGTGTTGGCCCTTGTTACAATAAAAGTTTTGTAATACAGTAGTTTTATTAGAAAAATTACTAATGCTTTTACTACCAAAATGATGAATTTGTGAAAGATTATGTATGGTCAGAATGTTAAAATTTGAAGAATAACTAGCAATACAGGGAAGGTTTCCAACCAAGTCCTTGAAGCAAGGCTTCAGACTAGTTTAAAGTGTCAAGGTGACTTGTGAAAGTAATGATTTCTGATGATATAATTTTGTATGTAAATATACATCTGCAGAGAGTGAAAATTGTAGTAATATCAGTTTTAGCAAAATAAAATACTGTGAAGAATTCTTTTGTTTTTTATTCCCTGAAAATGAAGCAAAAGTGAATGACAAAACAAAATTTAACAAGGCATAGTACTTATCTATTTTGGACAAAGACTTTGGTTAAATGACCAAATGCTCCACTGAGCGGGTCATCAGGCAAAATTTCATCATTTCTGGCAAAAAAAGTCCTTTGAGGGCATTTCTTTACAAGAAACCCCTCCAGATAAACACAAGTGTTTGTCCAATTGTAGGGGTTGTACTCTGGCAGACTGGACAGAGCTGAGTGATACACAAGAGTTAAGCTCTTCTTGTGTGTCCCCTCAGGGAAGGTTCCTTGATGTTGGTGAGGGGCTCTTGATTTAGGGAGTTGGATCTGTGCTCCAGTTCCCTGAATTAAGCCTGAATGCCTTCCACATCCCCCCCAGACACTGTATAATCCTACGGGTTTAGCGCTTCCCCCTTGATTATTATAATAATAATTTTATTGTGTGTGTAAGAGTACACAGTATGGTTGAACAAGTATTTGGCTGGCCGGTTAAGATTTCCCAAAGTAAAAATGTCAATAGAGAAACTGTCCACAATATTCACTTAACTCTGGTTACCTAACATTTCATCAAGGGATGCAGAGAAAGGGTTGCACAAATCCTCAGCAATTCTTGGAAATGGAAAGTAACTCAGTTACTTTGTGTTTCAGATAAGTAATAATAATATGCCAAAAAAGGAAGCAGACAACAGAGTACCTTTTGATGTTGGCAGACAACATCAAAAGATACCCTGCCACCTTGAATGCTGGTGACAGACTTGGATGGTAGAGTGCCCACGATGAAGTATGAGTGAACATTCAAATCACAGAACTCTTCAGTGTGATCAGCTCCCTGGGAAAGCATGGAATTGTCCTTCTCAAGTTTCACTCTATCCCTTCTCTCCTCAATCTTTGGCTGTAGGATCCACGTAGACAATTTTGAATGTTATAGTACTACATTATATGGATTTGTGTATGACTAACCTCTTCATTCTGAAAGATCCTTTGACAAATGACCCCTGTCATCCTGCTGGTTCTCAAGATCATGCCATTCAAGTTTGTGTATAATGTAAATATTTGTGTATAATGACCATTGTGTAACCGTAAAATTACTATTAATTTTGTAAGATTAATTCTGTGGAAAATATTTCAAAACTGAAATAATATGTAGTATAGTGTATGTATGTAAATGCCTAGTTTAGCTTTAAACATAGATAAAATAGATAATTTAGTTTTCAAAGAAGCTAAATTACATTAGTTAAAATAATGGATTAACAGTACAGTTTCGTACATCGTAAAGACAGCTCCCATAAACCATACCATGGGTGGGGCTTGAACTCGTAGTTAGGGAATCGTAAAACTCCAGACCAACATGTTAGCCACTGGGCCAGCTGCCTACAATAATATTCATCCAAATAGGTATACTTATACATCATCGGAAGGTTAGCATAGGCACCACTATGACCACAAATGCAAGTTTTTACAGACTAATCTCTTGCCAGCATGGCTGTGATGAACTCTAGCTCAAATCCCCTCAATCGTGTCATTGTGATTTTGTGAGCCATGAAAACTCCCATAGTTATGCATAATATTTTGGATTGCTTAAAGCTAGGACTAATATTGATAGTATAAAATTAGAAAATGTATTGGACATTGTATATAAATGTATGACAGTAAAATAAATTTTTTTTTTAACAAGTCGCCGTCTCCCACCGAGGCAGGGTGACGCAAAAAGAAAGAAAATCCCCAAAAAGAAAATACTTTCATCATTCAACACTTTCACCTCACTCACACATAATCACTGTTTTTGCAGAGGTGCTCAGAATACAACAGTTTAGAAGCATATACATGTACGTATAAAGATGAAATTAAGACACGTGCAACATCTGGGTATCTTTATTGTAGACGTTTCGCCATCCAGTGGCTTTATCAATACAAATTCCAGGACATAACTTGAAGACAGTAGAACTATGTTCAGAAGATGAGGTAATCAGTCCCTCAATGTAGGAGTAGGTGCGAAGAGAACTGTAGTCGTGGAGATTCTGAAGCAGAAGCAAGGCGCCTGACGCTTATATGCTAACGTCAGGTGGAGATGGGACGGTTAGCAGATGAGGGCATTGTCACTGGTAGGCGGGATTCCCCAGTGGAAGTAGGGCCTACCCAAAGAGATGGGTTAGTTGTAGTAGTAGTTGTCGCAGTCGTGAAGGTTACGTATATGTCCTTAGAATCAAGATTCCATGATGTTGCAGTGTCTAACAAGTTGTGTAAGAATGGTATACAATAGCGACAAGATGAAATTAAGACACATGTGCAACCTCTTCTGAACATAGTTCTACTGTCTTCAAGTTATGTCCTGGAATTTGTATTGATAAAGCCACTGGATGGTGAAACGTCTACAATAAAGATACCCAGATGTTGCACATGTGTCTTAATTTCATCTTGTCGGTATTGTATACCATTCTTACACAAAGTATAAAGATACACAACATATCCCTCCAAACTACCAATATCCCAAACCCCTCCTTTAAAGTGCAGGCATTGTACTTCCCATTTCCAGAACTCGAGTCCGGCTATATAAAGATAACTGGTTTCCCTGAATCTCTTCACTAAATATTACCCTGCTCACAGCAGAATAGCATTCCAATACCTTAGTAAGGAATCATTCAAGACACTACACTGTGTACATCAGGCCCATACTGGAGTATGCAGCACCAGTTTGGAATCCACACCTGGCCAAGCACGTCAAGAAATTAGAGAAAGTACAAAAGGTTTGCAACAAGGCTAGTTCCAGAGCTAAGGGAAATGTCCTACGAAGAAAGGTTGAGGGAAATCGGACTGACGACATTGGAGATCAGGGGAGACATCATAACAACATACAAAATAATGCATGGAATAGATAAGGTGGACAGAGACAGGTTGTTCCAGAGGGGACACAGAAACAAGGGGTCACAATTATAAGCTGAAGACTCAGACGAGTCAGAGGGATGTTAGGAAAGTATTTTTTCAGTCATAGAGTCGTCAGGAAGTGGAATAGCCTAGCAAGTGATGTAGTGGAGGCAGGAACCATACATAGCTTTAAAACGAAGTATGACAAAGCTCAGGAAGCAGAGAGAGAGAGGACCTAGTAGCGATCAGTGAAGAGGCGGGGCCAGAAGCTGAGTCTTGACCCCTGCAACCACAATTATGTGAATTAGGTGAGTGAGTACACACACACACACATGGTCATGGAGAAGATCATCAGGAGGAGAGTGGTGGAGCACCTGGAAAGAAACAAGTGTATAATTGACAACCAGCACGGTTTCAGGGAAGGAAAATCCTGTGTCACAAACCTACTAGAGTTTTATGACAAGGTTACAGAAGTAAGACAAGAGAGAGAGGGGTGGATCGACTGCATATTTTTGGACTGCAAGAAGGCCTTCGACACAGTTCCTCACAAGAGGTTACTGCAAAAGCTAGAGGATCAGGCACACATAACAGGAAAGGCACTGCAATGGATCAGAGAATATCTGACAGGGAGGCAACAACGAGTCATGGTACGTGACGAGGTGTCAGAGTGGGCGCCTGTGACAAGTGGGGTTCCACAGGGGTCAGTCCTAGGACCTGTGCTGTTCTTGGTATATGTGAACGACATAACGGAAGGGATAGACTCAGAAGTGTCCTTGTTTGCAGATGATGCAAAGTTAATGAGAAGAATCAAATCGGATGAGGATCAGGCAGGACTACAAAGAGACCTGGACAGGCTACAAGCCTGGTCCAGCAACTGGCTCCTTGAGTTTAACCCTGCCAAATGCAAAGTCATGAAGATTGGGGAAGGGCAAAGAAGACCGCAGACACAATATAGTTTAGATGGAAAAAGACTGCAAACCTCACTCAAGGAAAAAGATCTGGGGGTGAGTATAACACCGAGCATATCTCCTGAGGCGCACATCAATCAGATAACTGCTGCAGCATACGGGCGCCTGGCAAACCTACGGATAGCATTCCGATACCTCAGTAAGGATTCGTTTAAGACTCTGTATACCATTTACATCAGGCCCATACTGGAGTATGCAACACCAGTTTGGAATCCACACCTAGACAAGCAAGTTAAGAAATTAGAGAAAGTGCAAAGGTTTGCAACAAGGCTAGTCCCAGAGCTACGGGGATTGTCCAACGAAGAAAGGTTGAGGGAAATCGGCCTGACGACATTGGAGGACAGGAAGGTCAGGGGAGACATGATAACGACATATAAAATAGTGCACGGAATAGACAAGGTGGACAAAGACGGGATGTTCCAGAGAAGGGACACAGACACAAGAGGTCACAATTGGAAGTTGAAGACTCAGATAAATCAAAGTGATGTTAGGAAGTATTTCTTCAGAGTAGTCAGGCCGTGGAATAGCCTAGAAAGTGACGTAGTGGAGGCGGG